CTATATATAAAAAATCATGTGATATGATGTAATTTCGACCATTTTGACTTTTCATTTCGACTTTGACCTCCAAAGTCAAAACATTTCGACTTTTTGGGTTTTTATTTCAACTTCATGTATAATCGCTACAATTAGATGAAATGGTCAAATAGTGACTCTTTTAGCTTATGTAATAACTTTACTAAGTTTCGTTAAACTGGTATAATTTGTATAAGTATTCACAAAGATTCACAAAGGTAGTCAGTATATTATTAAGACTCACAAAGGTTATATTTTACTAAAATTTATAGTTTATCATAAGAATTTATAAATTATCACTAAGATTCATTAAGATTCATACAGATCACTAAGATTTATAATTCATGAAGATTGATATTTCACATAGACTTACAAATATATAAAAGATAAAATAAAAAGAGTTTATTGATAAAAATATAAGAAAGAAAAAGAAATAAAAGGTAAAAATAAAATAAAAAAAGGTTGATTCACAAAGATTTGCTCACATAACTAGTTAAAAGGTTTGGAGAATTATTAATTTCACATAGCCTATTAAATTTTCCCTTAACTACAAATTTTAAATTATTGTATTTATATATTTTAAAATACATATAATGACAAATTAACTCAATCCTTTTTATAGTCACCTCAGATGCAGTCATATTTTCCTTTATAAGCATATTTACATTAGCCTAAGTTACTAATAAACTTATTAAAAATTCTCCTCTTTAATCATACCATATAATATTTTTATAATCACATTAATTTTTTTTGGTCCTAAAGGGTGTAACTATATAGAGGGTCAACTGTACTATAAAATCTTGATATTAAGCACCTTCTGAAAATAAGTACCCTGCTACTTTTGCTATAGTATTTGTAAAACTAAAAGTAAGCATCTTCAAAATAAAGTACCCTTTATAACTTAATAGCTAATACGGGTTTTATAAAATCAAAAATTTATTTATAATAAATTTATAGCATAATTATTCTTTCTTTATTTTATTAATTTTCTAATTCATTTATTTATCTATGATAATTTTTTTCAAATCAGATGATAATTGAAATTAAGCACCTTCACCAGTTTTATCGATCATATGACTGCAAAAAAGATATGCTTAATTTCAAGATTTTACGGTATATTAAATAAATAAATTATATTAAATATATCACATATTAAACATGTTGAATATATTAAATATGTAAATTATGTTAACTATGTTAACTATATTAACTAAAGTTCCTTAAAATCGAATTGAATCAAATATTTAAGCAATTTGAATTTGATTTGATCTTTTCAAATTAAATTGAATTAAATTAAATCAAACTCAAATATTTGATCAAATCAAATTGAATCAAATATTTGTCAAATAAAATCAAATATTTGATTGAATTAAATTGTTTTGAATCAAATATAAAAAATTTTTTAATTTTTACAATGATATATTAAAATAAAGTAATTCTAAAATTTTAATTAAGAAAATTATTAGTAATTATACTAAAAAATTTTGAAGATAACTTTTACAAAGTAAGTTTAGTAACTGGTGAATTTTTACTATTAAACTTAGTAAAATAATTCTACAGTCTTAATTTTACTAAGAAAATTTAATAATAACTATTATTACAACTTCAGTTTACTAGGAAACTTAGTAATAACTACTATCACAGCTTCAGTTTTATTAAGAAAACTTAATAATAACTACCATTTTGGCTTTGTAACCATTTGGGAGGCAGTCAGTAAAAAAAAGAAGAAATCTAAATTTTGGTCAAATTTATATTATTAAACTACTTGGTTAATCTTGATCATGTGCACAAATTTGGCTTAATAATAAAAATTAACAAAAATTTTGGATTTTCTCCTTTTCTATTAACCGCCTTCCATTTTATTAGTAAAAATGTTTTCAAAGTTGCAGATGTATTTTTTTTACTAGGTTTTTTAGTAAAAAAACGTCTTCAAAGTTATAGAGGCATTTTTACTATGTTTTGTTAGTAAAATAGCATCTCTAAAGCTGCGGAAATATTTTTTACTATGTTTTCTTAGTAAAATAGTATTTCAGAAATGGTAGAGGCATTTTTTACTATGTTTTCTTAGTAAAATAATGTTTTTAAAGCTGTGAAGGCGTTTTTACTATGTTTTTCTTAGTAAAAAAGCATTTTCAAAGTTGTGGAGGCACTTTTTACTATGGTTTTCTTAGTATAAAAAGTATTTCTAAAGCTGTAAAGACACTTTTTGCTATGGTTTTCTTAGTAAAAAGGTATTTTCAAAGTCACAGAGACACTTTTTACTATAGTTTTCTTAATAAGAGCCACTTCTGAAGCTTTAGAAATGACTTATTATTAATTCAAATCAAATCAAATATTTGAATTCTTGATTTGAATTTGATCAAATTGAATTATCAAATAACAGAACCCTATTAAGTCTAATCAAAAACTTTTAAAACTTTAACTTGAATTATATTTAAATTTAATTTAATTTAAAGTAAATTATTTAATTTAAAAATATAAAAAATAAAAAATTATTTTATTATTTAATTTATAAAATTTAATTTAATTAATTAGAATTATTTTATAATTAAAAAAATTCAATTATTTATATTAATAAAATTTAATATTAATGTTAAAAAATATATTATTTTTCTATCATGATTTTAAACACATATATAAAATTTACTTTTCAATTTATAATATTAAAAATTAAATACTTATCTACTTTTTAAACTGTTAGTTTTAATAAAAAACAAAAAAAAACTAGTTTTAAAATATAAATAAAGTATAAAGAAATTTGTTTAAATATAATGAAAATGTAAATTATTATAATAATTAAAAAAATATTTACCATTAAAAATCAAATTATTATAATATTTAAAAAGTTTATTTAAAAATTCTTTTTATAAATAAACAATATGATCAAAAATAAATTATAAAATAAATTCTTATTTAGTTAGTATCAAATACATATATAAAAGAAAATATATAAATTATTAATTAAATAAAGTTGATTAGATGTAAATCAATTTTTATTATGATCATGTATGTTGATTATTAATCAGATCATTAATCTTAAAAAAGATACTAAATTTTTTTTTTTTTTGTATTTTTAAAAAATTTTTTTTTAAAACTCAATCAGTTTAAATTTTATCTCATTATATTTTTATAAATTCACATTTTAATTTTTTAAACTTTACCTAATTATATTTTTTTCAAACTCTACTATTTCAAACTTCACTCTGTTATATTTTTTTCAAACTTTATCTAATTATATTTTTTAAAACTCCATTTAATTATATTTTTTTAAAATTCAAACTTTACTATTTTAAACTCCATTCTGTTATATTTTTTAAATTTCACTATTTCAAATTCCACTTCTTTAGATTTTAAACAGATTTTGGTTTTAGAATATTTGAAATTTAAATAGATAATTTATAAAAGAAATTTTGAATTTTTTTGTTATTTTAAAAAGATTATAATTAAGTTTTTTTTTTTCTTTAAAGAAGTTATTTTTTTTTTGATTTTTAAATTTTGAAGTGATATTTTCAAAAAAAAGGATTGTATTATTATTTTTATTTTAATTGAAATTCTAATTTTAAAAAAAATCAAAATCAAATTAATTATATTTACTTTGTAATTGACATAATAATGTATTTCTGTAAATGCATTTAGTAAAAACATATATTATTATTTTAATTTATTTTTTTGTAACAAGTTTTAATAAGTATTATTATATGCATATATACTTGCATACTTTATTTTACAGATATTTGAAACTAGCATAACAATTATAGTATATTTTTTTTTAAAAAAAAATATCTTTTTTTTTAAAAATTATCTTTTTAAAAATATTTATTATAAACAAATTTTTCAATTTTATATTTATTTTTTTAATTTTAACTTTATAATATCTTAATTTCAAGATGTATCAAAACAAATTTATAGAACTTTAATCCTTTTAAGTAAAAAAATTGAATAAGGTTTCGTTAAGATCTGACTCGTCATCGCTGGATTCGTTATCTTGACCATTAAAATTATGCTATATCATAAACAATAAATCAAAAATAAGTAGCGTTGATAACATATTAAATAACATGGATGTAGTTCAACCCAGCTTGGATTCAAAAACCCGACATTTTGTCGACTACGTTTTCCACATTGCGATACTTCTTTATTGTTGTCATCGTGCGCTCGCTTTTTTCCTCTTGTTGATATTCGAAAATGCTGTGATATCTTTTGGGAGGAGAATAAGGATTTCTCTAGTTCTTGAATTCTTTCGAGATTTGTATCTCAAGGTGCTGATCATAGAAATCTTCATATAAATCTTTACAGCTTTGCAGGATGATGGATTTCGTCAATATCCCGTAGATCATTACAGAAAGTACGCACACTACCCGGAATTTTTTTAGTACTGTTCTTTATAATAACATTGAGTGACTTTTTCCAGTCATCATAAACGTCCATCCAAGATAGGATTACATTATCTTGTTTCAAACGATAGTGTAGATAATGTTTGAGTTGCCAGTTCTGAGCTTCGACATTTTTAAAGTAAATATGTACACCTTCAAAGTTGGGCGACACGAAGCGTAAATACGTGGTTGATCTCTGTTGCAGTCATCAAACTAAACGTTAGAAAAGAGAATAAATGGTTTTTTTTAAGCAAAAAAGAGTAAATAAAAAAAAAAGTCAAAAGTTTAAAAGAAAAATAATGTGTCCAACAGCAAAATAAGCATAAATTTAACGCGTAACAATATGCACGCGCATAATTTAAGAAATTTATCATTTTATCAGATTCTTATCTAAGGAATCTATCACCAATCGTTATTTAGATAGAAATCATATTCACAGAATCGAGATTTAGTGCTGTGAAACTTATTTGATTGCAAGTGGTTAGAAATTTCCTCATGTAGCAATTTGACAAAATTCATGTGGTAACAGAGGAGGCAACTATGCTGAAGTTCTCATGCAGCCAAGCATTGGCGGTGAGGTGCTTCCCTTGTATCCTATCCTTGGATACATAGGAGACGCCGTGGCTTAATGCGGCCAGGCATTGGCGGTTAAATTACGAGTTGCTTGTTGACTGACGACTGTTCGCGCGGCCAGGCATTGGCGGTGGCAGTTGATCCGCTGTCTTTGTTGAAGTTCTTCATGCGGCCAGGCATTGGCGGTGAGGCGCTTCTCTTGTATCCTATCTTTGAATACGTAGGAGACGCCGTGACTTTATGCGGCCAGGCATTGGCGGTAAAGTTACGAGTCAGTGGGATATCCAAGTTATCTCTTGGTAATCATGCCTCTGTCGGTGTATGTAGCACTGGTGATACTAAGAGATTATATCCATTCCGAATTTTGATTTTTCCGGACGAGACATTATGCAATTTTAAGAGTTATGAATATTTTTTTTTAGCTGTGCATTTGCAGTTCTGGGCTTACAAGCTAATATAATTTTTCGTTCAGGATTTTGTCGACAATATTAGTATCACTGCTTTACTAAGATTAATGATATTAATTTATTTGCGTACATGTTAAATGACAGATTATAGATGAAATTTATTATTTTTACATAATGATATGGTAGAGAAGCAAGCGAATTATCTGATGCGATCAAAGAAGGCGGATCCTAGGCGAGTCCCAGCATCAAATTATTTCTTTGCTCTCTTACGTTTACGAGCTACAAGATTTTCATCACCGCACTCTTTTACTACACTAGATTTTTGAAAAAAAATTATATATTTACAGAATTTTTGTCTATCTATATCTCTCCCAAACACACGAGGCGGAATGGAATTGTGAAAATGAATCGTGAGATAGAGATACGATCCGAATCCAACAATCTGAATATCTGATGAGCTAAAGATGGAACTGTAATTAATTTTAAATTTTTATATTGCAACTTACTCAGTTATAACTTCTTAGTTATAGTATAATCTTTATAATAAGCTATCTGTCCAAAAGGTGATAAAAAACTAAAAAACTTTTTTTTAATAGCAGATGTGATATAATTTGGTAGTTACACAGATGGAGTATTTTTTGCTTCATATTTTATAACCTGCGATGATCCTCAGAAAGGCAAGTTTGATTTATTAGCATTAATATAATAAAAAAGCATTTATTAAATAATAATTTTACCTAACTCTAAATTACTTTTACTATCTAAAATTGAAACAATTGTCTATTGGAATTATATAAGTATGATTGATCATGTAAATCCAGATCAGAAATGATGATTTTTTGCAATGATAAAATACTGATTCCATTTGAATTATAAATAAATTCTGCATGTATGCTACGCATTAAAATATATGTATTTTATTACATTATAAAATTCTATGCTTCTATTAAAGTAAAGCATATTTAAATGCATAAAGAATCTTTAGATAAATTTTGCCAATTATATTTTAAAATTGAGTTGTATTTAAAAAAATTTTGTTTAATAAATACTATAAAAAGAAATACATAACCATATGTAATCTAATGCTATTTAAAATAAAAGTAATAAATATTCAGCTATATTTAACTAGTATTCATCTAATGAGATCTTCATTAAATTTACATTAATTTTTGATTCATAATAAATTGTCTATTTATCTAATAAATTATTAAATGAATTATCTAATTCCGTAATTATATCATTTCATATAATATCACTAAAACAAATAAATTTTGGATTGAATATTTGATAAACATAAAAAAAAGGATATGCCTTCTTAAATTATTTCTAAAAAATTTGATTTTTGAGATATTTGAGATTAAACTATTAATTTATAATAAAGATGTATTCCTAAATTATTTTTAAAAATTTGAATTTTAAAATATTTAAGATTAAACTATTTACTTATAATATATATTTTTACCTAAACTTCTAATAAGCTTTCCTAAATTTTATTAAGTTTTATTAAGTTTTAGATTTAAAAAAGTTATTTTAAAGGTCTCAAAATTATTTCTAAATTTTTAAACATATGGGAAGCAGTCAGTAGAAAAGGGAGAAATCCAAAATTTTTGTATATTTTAATTATTAAGCTAATTTTGTGCATATGATCGAGATCAATTAAGTGGTCTAATAATATAAATTTTGACCAAAATTTGGATTTCTCCCTTTTCTACTGACCACTTTCCATATATTAAAATAGTTTTCAAATAATATTATTATTCTTTATATTGTTATCGGCTAAAAATTTACTATTGAGAAGTTAATCTACAAAGCATTATCAAACAATCTACAGAAGTTACTGAAATTAATTTTATGTTAATCACAAATTAAATGATCAGCATAATTTCTGATTTTCTAGATTATTAGAATTTATCTGATTCACTAGATCTACCTAATAAGCTGGATAATTGTTATAATGCTTATTTCCATTATTTTAATTATTATCGTTATTTTATTATTTTTATTATTATTATTATTTCTATTATAATTATTATCTTTGTTATTATTATTATTATTATTATTGTATTAGTACTTGAAATTACAAATTTGGTTAGTTTATAGCGTAGTGACTAGTTAGTTGTAACAAATTAATTTTGTATAGAATAACTTTTTGGTCAAGTTGTAAATTAACTCTATTGCAAGTTTCAGTTTTATTATAAATTCAAGTAATAAATAAAGGAATCAACTTTGAAATATAATTACTTTTCCTTTCTACATGTCTATTATCTAGGATTTAATTATGAACCACTACATTAACTTGCTTTTGAGTTTATCACTTAGAATAAATAAATTTTCTAAATCCCTAATTCTTTAAGTTCGTAAAGTCAAGCGAAGTAATTTCAAGGTATTCTGGATACTTGCAAGACGTGAGATTTCCTAAGGTTGTAAAATTTGACAATAAGGAACTTACTTGCTGCAGCAAAATAACTTAATGAAACACATGCGATAAAAATAATTATTTTTGGTGATAATATATGCTGAAAGGTTTGTAATTAATTCTTAATAAGAGAAAATATTAGGTTTTTTTATTATTGAAAGAAATTTAAATTTAAATAAAATTCCAAATAATATGATAGTAAAATACTAAAATAATCAGCTTTATGATAAATGGGTTTGGATAAATTTATTCAAAGAAAATCTATATGAAGTTGTAAAATGTTCTATTAAATATTAACCACTTATATAGATTTCTGAAGTTTTTATTACTCTGTTTTTTATATAAAAAAGGAAATACATGATTCTAATTAAAATTCTTTGGTTGAAAATATCTTACTTTAAAACAATTTATAAAAAATATAAAATTTCTGATTCTTACATATTATAAAACATTTTTTAATATTTGTACACTTTGATCATCATATTATCATATTATATTAGGTCAGTTCATTTCTAATGGTTGAATCAAATGTTAAAAATTTATTTTAATTTTCATCATCAGAAATAAACTTAACATTCCAAATATATTTTTCTCAAAAAGTCTTATTTTGTTTGAATGTAGATTTATAAATTTTGATCATTAAAGAATTGATATGTTTTATTAGACAAAATTGCTATTAGTTTAATAAATCATAAAAATTTTTAACTTTTAAACAATTTTAATTATAGAACTGGTTGATCATTTATCTATAAGAAATAATGTTTAAATAAATTTTACATTCAAAAATTGAATTTACAATTATTTACAATTATCATAATGATTGGTAACTTTCTGTAATTATATTCAAAAATTCTTATGAACCAATTTTTTACATAATATTAATGTAATACAACATAAATAATTGAACCTTTTTCAAAAAATTTAAAAATTATAATTTTCAAAAGTTAGTTAGGAAATATTTTTATATAATATAAATAAAGAATCCAAATTTATGATACAACATTTTATTTAAAATATATCTATGAATAGTATTTGAAATACTAATTAGTATAATATGCTAATATTGGATCTCGTTAAAGTTATTGTATTATAATGATTTATAATTTAACGTTATTAACTTTTTCAACTTCTTTAACATTTTTAATTTCTTTAATATAGTAAAAAATCATATGTGCATACATGTATAAGAAATTTTTTTGTGCAGCATTGCAATATTTTATGCATTTTATAAACTGATAAAAATAAAATTTTTATGTATATTTTATATACTATATAATTTCAGCTATATTAATAAATGAAAATTTAAAAAACATGAAAATTTGTAAAGAATTTAATAAACATCATAACTTATTCAAATTTTTATATATAAAATTATGCATAAAATTATGTACTATAAATTTTTTTATGTATAAAATTGTGGGTTTATTAATTTATCTTCTAGGCTCTGATTGGCTAATATAATTTAGATTAATTAGGGTTAAGTAAGAGCTTAGGTGATTTATCACCAGTGTGATATCAGTAGTATTTTAATTATAGAATTTTTTTGTGTGGTGATATTTATTTATCATCTTCTTAGTATATGACAAATAACATAGTTAAATATATTAACCAATCAGAGCTTGAGAGTAAATTAGTGAAATCCACATATGAGCTAATTAAATTCCATTTGATTTTATCACATAAATTTGAATTTTTTATTACTTTATATATCTTGAATTTTTAAAATCAATTATAAATATATAATGCAAAAATAAACAGATGACAAGACTAATCCATTATTAATTATGAAATTCTGATGATTTATATTTTTTAAAATATTTTTTGTGTTCTCAAAGTATATAGTTAAATTAGTTTTAAGAAATCAGAAAATCTAGTTAACAACATATTTTTGTTATTTAAAAATAAATTTTAGCAAAATATGAACTATTAGAATGTTTATATGAACAAAAGGGTTTTTTAAAGTTTGTAAATTGTAGATTGCAAAAGGTTTAAAAATAAAACATTTAAAATATATGAGTTTATTATTATTAGTCCAGAGCGTTAGCGAAGGACTATTTACTTTCTATATATTGTGTCCATTTGTCCACCCGCTTATCATTTGAGACGACAAATATCGGCTATTTATAAATATCATGGTACATTTTCCTAAAAAAGAAACTGCCCGCAACATAGCGATAGATTTAATAAATTCTCCCTAAAATGTGTTGTAT